TTTCACTGACAAATTCCAGTCATTTCAACAGGAATTGTAAGTTTTGCGTGAGGGTGAAAAGTTTGTAATGAGGCTCATGTTCAAGTTTGTAATGTGAAGTCACTGTTCTGGCCAACCTCTACAGCTTGGTAGAATGTATTTATTTTTGCCCATGAAATTTTGCTTTGCTCTGGAAATGCACCCCAGGTTGATTAGTTGACTTTTTTCTGATTTATTTACACTGCAAGTCCTTCTCAAATGAGGAATAATGTACAATCAGCCGTTATATCAAAATTTGTCATTATGCATATAAATGAATCCTACGTTCTGCATGAAAGAGTTTCAGCAAAAATTGACTTCTATTTCATGTCTGTTTTTTACACAACGCTACATCTTAGTTTTTAATATGGCTTTAGAATAATTGGAATACAGCATATTAGCTGTATGGATTAGGGTTATGGTTTTAGAGTCAATAATTCCACTTTTTTATTTTTTGGGGGTGGGATGTTGTGAATTAGCTCTTTAATTTCGTCTTTAAATTGAATTCTAAGATGAAATTTCTTTTTGCAGAGCTTCAATAAGCGCTGTGGCCTGGTCGTTGTCGGGTGAATATGTGGTAAGCGTGGACAAGAGCCGTCGAGCTGTGCTCTGGAGTGATATCTGAGAGCAGACGCAGGCTGCCTTTTCCCTTCTTATCAACTGAAGTCAGTCCTGGAAATGCATTCGGGGATGTCATCAAAACACAGCCCTGTTGGGAAAAGCTCACACGCTGCACTCCGTCAATAACAAGACCTGTAGTATTGTGACAGTCTCTGTTGCTAAGAGGCCGTGTCACCCAAAACGCAGACAGATGTGCTAATGTTACAGGGGTCTGGCGACTGTCGAGCGGAGCTGTCTGGGTTTTGTTTTGAAACCTTGTTACACATGAATTACTGACGCAGAACATGCCGAAGCATTTGTAGGCCTTCCTGTTGCTTGATTCTTACTGTAATTGTCAGCAACTTTAAAATCTGAGATCTCTTGACATACACCAGATATCGCTGCCTCTGGGATTTGATATCAAAGGGAAACATGAAACAAAATGGATTCAGCCTGTTTAAAGGACATGGCAACACATTTCTGAATATGTGGAAACTCGACCCAGCGTATTCGCATGTCAGTCCTATTTTTAGAGACCAAAACACAGAACAGACACGTCATTTTGAATGCCTGGTAAAAGGCCATTGTATATTGTCACACAATGACATTGATTCGTGAATGCAATATAAAATTAGATCTAAATATTATAAATGAAAAAAAAAAGAAGATATTTATGCATTATTGTTCAAAATTGTGGGGTCAGTATTTATTTTTAAAGAAAAGAATGCTTATATTCAGCAAATTGATCAAAAGTGACATGTAAAAAGATGTCTATTTTAAATAAATGCTGTTCTTTTGAACTTTCTATTCATCAAAAATCCTTAAAATGTATTTCCACAAAAATATTAACTTGAAACTGTTTAAGTTAATAATAAATATTTATTAGCAGAAGAAAATTCAGCTTTGCATCACAGGAATAAATACCATTTAAAATAAATAAAAATAGAAAACTGTTATTTTAAATTGTAATAATATTTTATTATTATTTATAAATTAGTTTGTCTACAAACTTTTCAATCTAGTTTATAAATTAATATTTGTTTAGTAAATAAATGCAGCCTTGGTGAGCAGAAGTGACTGACCCCAAACTTTTGAATGCTAGTGTATATATTTCAAGATGTCTAAGACCACAATGAAAATCTTGGGACCATTATGATGTATTTGATCATCATATTGATCAATTTCTAGATCACTAATGAAATGTACTCAAGCAAATCTGTGATCATTATCATTATGATAATAATTAATATCCCATTCTGAAAAACATAATCTTCAGGTTTTGCACAAACGGGATGATTCCATGTAGCTTGAGCGCTGCTGTCATTAAAACGAAACAAATATTTTGTTTGTTGATTTTTAAATTTAGATTTCCACTCTAATTGTTAAGCCAATCATTTGTAATAAAAAATAAATGTATCCATTTAGAAAAAAGCAAAATGAAGGCTTTTCACTAGTGGTCTGAGATATTTAGACCCCACTGTATGTTGTTAATCACTGGCTCAGGGAAGTGCTCAGTTCTACTGGACTGACTCCAGTCATTTATTATAAAAAGGGACTCGAGTGTTTTAAAAATGAATGAGAGGAGGCCTTGCCCTCCACCACACTCTCTAGTGCTGCCATAGAGACCCAGTATGCTCGCTGCTAAACTGCGCTCAGATTAGCATTTAAAAGAGCCCTGTGTCTGATGAGAATCACAGCGGACCGCTCTGACTGACTTTGAAGACCCAAATTACTGCCATCAGAGATCACACGAGCAAAGCTAATGCACAGACGTGATTTGATCTGCTGTGTTCATTTGCATGTTAATTATACGTTAGATGAGCAAAGTCTAACGCCCATCTTACGCTTGTCAGCCGTTGGACCAAGGAGATTTAATGTAGAGTCTAGAATATTTATTAACTTAAAGCCATATGTGCTAGTTGCTATGATGCAGTATGTGCCACAGAAATCTGATCTCACTGAAGATTGTTGTATTGTAACTTTTATTGTAAATAAAAAAAAAAAGAACATTGATTTTGATCACCCCAAAATCAAAAGAAAAATGTATATTTATAAGATTATAAAACGTTTTATAAAAGTTACATTTATTAAAAAAAAAAAAAAAAAAATTGGGATTAATATTAGCATAAAGTCAGTACAACAAATTCTATCATGATTAAAACTTTACATGTTAAAAATATATATGTTATATGTTTGCATTATGGTAACGAGTGAGATTTTTCACCATGCAATAATGAGAATTAGGGTGAAAATCTGCTTAATTGTCATGAAAAATATTTGAATTAATATTAATTGTCATAAAAAAAATATTTGTAAAAAATATTTTAAACATATTAAATATGTTTAAAGGTTTGTTAAACAGACCTTGGCATGTTTTTCATGACCTTCTTGAAATACTCTGGTTAAGTAAATCAAAGCCACTTCATGATATTAAGTAACAGAGAAACATCTTTTTGACAAGAAAAACAAAAACTATTCGACATTTTGGTTTACTTTAAATAATTGATGTACAGCACATTTCTTAATGCTTACGGGTGGCACTACTTGGAGCAACAGATTTGAGGTTAGATTTATTTGACCGTAAAAGTGCTGTTGTATTTTTAGAGGAAAGCATTTTCTTTTTTAATGATTTTGTTACTGAGCAAAACTCTGCCTTTCCAAATGTGGATTGTTCTCAAAGTAGCACAATTATCAAGGGAACGGCTGTAAATCTGTTAACAACATTCATTTTTGTAAAAAAATTTTATATATATATATATTTTTTAACTGTTATTTGTTTTATGTGACCAGTAAAGAAATATACCAAGCAAAACTGCAGAGTAAGGACCAAAAGTGAGTTTGATGATAAAGTCTGTTGTTTACATAGGAAATGAAAGAAAAAGAGCAAATATAAGTCCATGCTTGTCTTTGTTCTAATAGGAACTTTCCATGAATAGGGTGTAGGTCCTGTCATGATATAGTTTTAAACCTCAGTTTAAGTAATTTTGTTGTTTTCTACATTAAATGATTCTTAAAATTTAAATATAAAAAAATAGATTTCTAAAATAAAATGAAATAACAATCCCAGAATGGGTAACTGGGTTGTAAATGTGTCACTCTGTATACACTGTAAAAAAAAATCCGTAAAATTTACAAACGGCAGCTGTGGTTGCCGGAATTTTACCATAAAAAATACGGTAGCAACGTTTTAGGTTTTACGGTTTTAACTTAAATTTACAGTTAAATACCGTAATTTCATTAACTGATATAATGTTAATATACCAACCTATTGAAGTACTGAAATCTGTTTTGTAGCTTTGTAATACACTGATAACCACCAAAAGCAGGTGGTGATGAGAAAGTCACATGATGAACCAAAGCCCATCACAAGCAGCTTTTAAATAATTAGTCTTTTACCGTTAAATTCACGGTCATTTTTTACAGTGGGGGTTAGCTAGATTGAGACCAAAATGTTCGTTTGTAGTTGTGATAAGCTTGTATTTCCCATAAATTGAAGAGTTTTTATTTGCATTTGTTTTAATTTATTTCTTTTTTATAGTAACTTTAATGAATGTTTGATATACTTTAGCAATTTTTCCATCCTGGGATTTTAGGTTAAAACTTTTATTTGTGCCTAATAAAAAGTAATGGGACACCAAGGTGTATCCTGCTTGTGGAAAGTGCCATGATTTAGCATTCATTTGAGAACATTCAGAGCATTCGTTTTAAAAGTAATGTATTTTAGAACGTTACATGTTTTGTCATTACAGTCTGAAGCAATTACGTAATATATGGGTATTGCTGTCATGTCATATTTTGTGTGGTTGTTAATTACAGTATCATTAATACGCATCTTGATGTTTATTTCTTAAAATTCTTCTCTGCAGTGACTTAATATTTTTTTATTATTATTATTTAATTACGGTGTCAGAGAAGTGCAAAACAAATCACAATTCTGAAAACAAAATAACAAATTACATACCCAAATGCAAGTCTAAAAAACAAAATAACAATTCAGAAAACACAACTCTGTAAATCATCAGCTCCAGTGGCAGATGGATAAGCGCGTGTCGTTGGCTTTTTGACACGATCGACCCGGGTGGTTCGGCAAAAGGCGGGATCGCACCCGGACCTGACGTGTTATAATGTTTTCTGAATTGTTGTTGTGCTTTCTGTTATTATATTATATTATTATATTGTTATTTTGTTTTTTAGACTTGCATTTGCATTTGCGTTTGTAATTTGTTATTTGGTTTCAGAATTGTGATTTGCTTTGCACTTCTCGGCCACCGTATTTAATTGATAAAAACACTAAAATATCAGGGGTGCTTTTTCAGTCAACAAAACCATCTTAAACCCACACGATGGCTGGTTGATATGCTTTATCCAAGCCAGGATTGATTTATTGCTTTGGGAGTTTAGAACTGTAATGTGACACCACTTTAAATGATGTCAATGTCAAGACGTAAATAAGGCTTAGTCCGACAGTGCGCGAGCTCATTTCACAGCCTCTGCACGATGATGGCGAGCTGAGAAATCTGCTCGGCGTTGGAGAATATCATCACCCACTCACCTCAGCACCCGCACACATCCAGAGAGGAGGGGAGAGAGCGAGACAGGCAGCGGAAGAGCTCTGCTAGATAGTGTGGATAGCAAACGGAAGCTTCTTAAGCCGTAGGATTTTCCAAACTGCGTTTATTGTTTATACATTCCCACCTGAAGGACTCCAAAAGCAGAGCGGCGCAGGAAAGCAGCGAGGAATCACTGGCTTCTGCTTGTTTTATGTCGGCAGCGCGGGGTTTGTCTGTTGGCAAGCGGCAGTGGAGAATGAGATGCTCCTGTAATTGGATTCATCATCTGGAAAGCGCTCAAACCGCGAGGAGAGCTGCTCAAGTGACAGCGGCTCTCTAACGCAGCATAGTAAATTCTCTTTCTGTCAGCCTGCCTCTTCATCTTTCTTTACCCCCCGCTCAGCTCCATCTGCCTCTCTTTTCTCGGCAACCCCTCTCATCTTGTTCCCACAGCAGAAGAGTTTCTGTCGCACGCAGATCCTCGCGATGGGTGACAAAGGCACAAGGTAAGCCGTGTGTTTCAGATGGACTAGCTAGCTGGGTCAGGAGAACTATTTTTTAAATTTTTTTTTATTCTGTAGCTTATGTTCTAGATGTAATTGATCATTTAGCATCACAGTGGCTCAGTCAGTATTCACAAATTCCCCGCGCAAATTTGTCCATTCTCAGACTAAGTTTAAGTAAATGAGATGAGATGTCCGAGGTCTTCAGAATAAGTTCTGATTAGTTAAAGGGTTAGTTCACCCAAAAATGAAAATTAGGTTGCGTTTTACTCACCCCCGATGCATCCTAGGTGTATATGACTTTCTTCTTTCAGACGAATCCAGTCGGAGTTATATTAAAAATTGTCCTGGCTATTCCAAGCTCTATCATTGCACTCAGCGGGTGTTGCATTGCTTCTGTCCAAAAGACGTGAAATAAAAAGCACCTTTCCATTAAAAAAAGTGTCTCACACGGCTCCGGGGTGTGAACAAAGGCCTCCTGTAGCGAATCGATGCGTTTTTGTAAGAAAAATATCCATATTCAAAACGTAATAATAACTTGAATCTAGCTTGCGCCAGCAGTTGTACACAGAAGCAGTGCCGGGCGGATGACGTATGAGGTCAGCGCTGCGCATGCGTCGGTGCGTCTCGTGAAAACCAACGTTTGTTTACAGGAGCAAAAGAAGCAAAGTTTCCTTACTTTAGCAAAGGAAAACCAGTCTCCTCTTGGCTAATATAACTCCGACTGGATTCGTCTGAAAGAAGAAAGTCATATACACCTAGGATGCATCGAGGGTGAGTAAAACGCAGCCTAATTTTCATTTTTGGATGAACTAACCCTTTAATCTTTTAAACTGTATTTAGGTCAATTGAAAACACAGGACAGGAAAGTGAAGGGAGAGAGTGGGACTGGGACACTAGGCTGGATTTGACCCTGCTCTCATGAGCACATGCACTGCACTACAAATAATCCTATTTGCTATGCTAAATGGACAATTAGCTAGCCTATGTGGATAGTTGCATTGTTTTTTATCCCCTCCTCTATGTGACCCAATCAGAAACAGACCTGCAAGCCATCAGAAACCACTGCATAAATATATCTCATTTGTTTCATCTGTTATTCATTTGCTTCAGTTCTCTCTAGGAAGGCTTTAAGAGGGTGGTGGAGGTATCACACTGCTTTGGCATAGCGGCATTTCCATTGATATTTGACATTTCACACAAGAGCACATTTGACCAGGACATTCAAAACTCTCAGCAGGATTGTGAATCAGTTCAGCGCTCAAAGCACACCGCTTTATGACATGACTGAACAGCTCACTCTTCCAAATCATCTACGCCCTTAAAAGTAAAGCTTCTTTATGGTTCCTTGAAGAACCTTTAGCATCCGTGGAAACTTTTCATTACACCAAAAGTTCTTCATGGTGGAAAAAAGGTTCAAAATGTTCTTTACACCGAGAAAACAAATATTCTTTTAAGAACTGTTTACTGATAGGTTCTTTGAGGAATCCAAACTGGTTCTTATGTAGTATTATTGTAAATTTGTAAGCGAGTATAACCCTGTGAGTTATGATGAATTCATACAATCTCATTTGTACGTTTTCTAATGATCTGCTTATGCCCCAGTGATGGTTATCTTTAGGGTGGGGTTAGAGGTGAACCTTCATGCTTTTTATTTTTTCTTGATGTTGTACATTTTTGTACGATTCATTTTATACAAATTCAGTTTTCCTTTGTTTTGTTCTCTTTTTTTGAGTTTAACACTAACAACCATAATGTATCGTATTGGATCGGTCCCGTCAGACTGATACTTGATCCGAAAAAAGGTCCATATCGGACTGATATGATGATAGAGTAGCAGATCGACGCATCCCTAGAAGTAATGTGATACACATAAAAATGTAAATCTCAGAGGACAGTGGAATAGCTGTGCTCAATAATATCTTGTTTACTTGCTAACAATTCTTAAAGGGGTGGCTGATTGCGATTTCACTTTTTTAACGTTAGTTAGTGTGTAATGTTGCTGTTTGAGCAAAAGGCAGCAAAGGGGGCGAGGCCATGCTGAGCTGCTTTAGAGAAGGGGAAGAGAAAACGAGGTGCACGTAAAAATCTGTTCATATGAATCGTGATTCTGTCTTCTAAGGATTCTAATGGATTCACTAGTTTCAAAATCAGTGTTCTAAAGCAGCGGTTCTTAATACTGTTCCTCGCGTTCCCCTGCTCTGCACACGTAATCTCGCAACAGTTGGAAATTACAGTGATTAGTCCTTTCTTGAAAGTGCTTATTGTAACAGATTAGGAATTCTTGGTTATGACATTATTTTTCATGGCAGACTGATAAATAACTGTAAGCTCTAAACCCCAACAGATTGGAGCTTGGCATTTTGAGAAAGCACAGGCTGTTTTGTTTGCACTATGCTTTAGAGAATCAGTGAAAGGTCTGTTGACGAGCCATCTGGATCTACTCATGACAGAACATACAGTACGATATTTGCAAGAAGTGCATCTTCCATTGCTTCACATGGTTGTTACCTTGCATGTACTCATCAAAAATGACTTTTCTCTGTTATTATTTCTGTTTATACCATTTCTTTATAAGACATTACTAGGACAACATTTTCTGGCATTAGCTGTGTTACGTATCAAACAAAAATTAATCTAGGTTATTTTCTGAATATAATGATAAAAATAATAATTAACAGCCAAAGATTTTATTAGTATTAGTATTGAAATTTTTTTTTCAAATTATATTTATTGTGTGGTTCAAACCTTACATTTTGATTTAATATTAATTTATTTTCCCAAAGACAAAAGCAATTATACAAAGTAAAAATATTTATTATAATCATAAAGACCATACACTCTTATTATATTTTTTTAGACATAAGCCGAAATGTTACTTAATTTAGGTTACTTATATTTATTTTATGATGAATTTTTAGCTTTTACATCTTAATTTGACCATAAACATAAGCTGAATTAACTATAATATGAAAGTAGAATTTTCAACATACAAACGAATTTCAACTAACAAAAACATTTTGTTATTCAACTTTTTAATTTTATTTATTGGGTGACCTATCCCTTTGATGTTTATTATGATATTTGTATAATGCACTTTAAATGAAAGTTGTTCCACTTTTTTTTAATTATTAGTATACCAATACATTTCAAGTTGTACAAATCAGTAATACATTTGTTAATGTATAATGAGTGAACATGTCCTATATGAACCCCAAGTTAGGAATGATTCTTGTTATTTTTCACATATTCATTCATATAGTACTTGCTTTGTTTGAGTTCACCTTGATAGGTCACCTAATGCTGAGATCCTAATGATGTGTTACTGGATAGCGGCCAATGTTGGAGTAACCTGGATAGCCTACTTACAGTCCTTATATTAAAACTGACAAAGAAAGAAAGAAAATAAGAGTTAATCACATCATAATGTAGAAATGGAAGGCCCATGCACCCATTAACAAAAGGCATGTGTAGTCACCAATGTCCCTATATGTCAATTCTCTGACAGTAAATCATGTTCATGAAAGAATTAAATTTGCTTCTGCTCTTTAAACGTTTCATGAAGTTCATACAACCCACTGAAAATCTATGGACTTGCATTATCAGCCTTGTTTTACTTTTGAACCGAGACCCTATTAAACTAGGCCTACAGGCCTCGGGCCTGACTGGCAGTTGAAGTTTTGGAGTGATCAAGTTTTGCAGTATCCGCAACTCACGCTTAGGTGTTTTTTGCGAGATAAAGATTTATTTTTTCACACTTAATCTGATTTACGATGGTATCAGGCTATCAGCACTGATGTGCTTTTTAAAATTCAGAGTTGATTTCTGAGTTTCCGGTGCAGTAAGTTTAAAAGCTTTATAGCTTTTAATGGTTTATTGTTACTTAAAGTGCTTTTTAGTTCAAAAGCCTACAATTGGATCCACTGTGCAGTGATTTCAGGATTGGCGTCCTACTTGTGCTGCCCACACTTACAATCTATTAAGTGTTCAGTGTGATCCATTGTTCATTTTGAATGATTTTTATGCTTGTGCATTTAGCGTCTTAAAGGTAGCTCTTCAGTACCTTTTGAATCCTCCTGCCAATCTGAATCTCCCTTGATGCGTATGACCACTTGAATCACAGTTTCAGTATCTAGGATGAGTTGTGCGTGATCCATTAAGTAAGCAAATTAAATTGATATGTAATCCAATAATAGATGGCATGTCTTTAAACCTATAATGCTATTGTTGGTGTCATTTTTGCATGTTGCTCTTCTTCATGGTGAATAACACTTAAACTGCTATATTGTACCTCATAAGTGACTTAATCTTAAATATCATATCACAATTAATATTTGGCATGACTACTCAAGCCTTAACAAACAAATGAACTGTATTAAAAAAGGTAGCTATAAAAAAGCCACTGCTGAGCAGCAAACAGGTATTTGAAGCTGCTGGTGTCTCGCTCCATGAATGCTGGGAGTTGAGCATAAAGCTGCATTTCAGCCACCCCTAAACCAAAGCTCACAAACAGAAATGTGTACAGTGGGTGTAGAAATACATATTCAAACGTTTTTTATTGCTTAAATAACAATCCCTCAGTTCAGTCAGTCATAAAGTTGTACGCACAATCAATGCAACAAAAGAACGTACCATTTAGTATTTTGTCACACAACAGTGTCAGACAGGCAATGCCTTACTGGCTGTGAACACATCAGAATGACTGACACAAATTTATCATCAAATGTGTCAAACTGCTGGATATATTCTGTTGACCTTTTGACCTGCATGACATGAGGTCATATGCCAGGAAACATCAAGTTTGTGGTCTGTGTGCTTTCCCACTTTAGCTGATGCAGTGAAACACAAACATATTGCACGCAGGTACTTTGTCTTGCTCCCAGAATTCAGGTGTGTTTCGTGTTGGACACAAGCAAAATGTCAAGTCTTTACATTAAAATGTTAATGTATGGTGGAATTAATATTAGTTATATGAACTGAAAAACAATGTAAAAACTGCCTAA